ATGTGTATGTTCAAAAGTTGTCCTCCCCAGATAGTGGGCAAGGCGAAGCGAGGCAGCTTTATTTACATCGCATTTTTCATCCACAAAGCAATGTGCCTCACATATGTTACCATATGTTCATATTTTACGATTACAATTTTTTCCTCCAGTACTGTGGTTCATTTAACCCTTTCAGGAACAGCGGTTACTACGGTGGACATCTTATCATGTTATCAGGTTACAGGGTGCATGAAAGAGTTAAATAATTTTTTTTTTCCTTTTTGCTTCATTTTATAGTTCAGTCATGTTGCTCGGTAGGAGTGAGCAGAAGTTTTTTTTCAAGCTACGAAAGGTTAGATGTAGTCAAACAGTACACCTGCCTTTCTCCTTTTTTGATTGGAATTAGAGAATCTAACATATGCAAAGTATATGTGTTCATATTAAAGCCTACACTGCTGCTACTGTCTAGCTAAGTGACACGTGAATGTGTGTGTGCGTACTTACAGACAAGTAGCCTCAGCAAACAAAAGCCGAGTTCAGGTAAGAGTGTTCGGTCTGTGGTCTGTCCTTCTAGAATGATGAAAATTGGAGTCATGTATCAGTTTACATCGTAGTTAACTGTAAAATGCATTGCTTACGTATCTGCACCTTGGCTGTTGGTACAGAGATATAAAGTAGTGATCGGGTTTTACGTACTGCATTCGCATTCAGTTTATTTTTTATTTTTAATTTTTTTTTTTTATGTCACCTCTAGCCTCTCATTCGAAACCACACAGGCTAAGCTTAGCATATACCAATGGATTTCATTCCATAGGCAGGAAATGATAGGACAACGTGATTTACTAATTTCACTCGATGAGAAGGAGATGAAGTGAGGAGGAAATTGCATTTCAAGAAAAAGATGTACAAAATGTTGTGCTCACCTAAGGGGGCTGTTTTACCTCAGCAACATGCATACCATCAATGTGTATGTTCAAAAGTTGTCCTCCCCAGATAGTGGGCAAGGCGAAGCGAGGCAGCTTTATTTACATCGCATTTTTCATCCACAAAGCAATGTGCCTCACATATGTTACCATATGTTCATATTTTACGATTACAATTTTTTCCTCCAGTACTGTGGTTCATTTAACCCTTTCAGGAACAGCGGTTACTACGGTGGACATCTTATCATGTTATCAGGTTACAGGGTGCATGAAAGAGTTAAATAACTTTGATGATGATGATGATAATGATGAAGAAGAGAAGAGCCTCTTTTGTGTTTGCCATTTATGCATACACAAAATTTTACTTTTGCATTGAACACACCCTCGTGGCACCCACAAACATCAGTTCGGGGTCTTGGGGTTTTGCGTAAGGACGCCGCAGTTGTTTGTCTGGGAGGTCTTCAACCAGGTTCCTCCTGGGGGCAGGTGACGATCATAACTCCTTGTTCACAGCTTCCTTGCAGCCCTCTTAAGATATTCACTCGTAGACTTCCTGCACACTTTTTGGGAGTGGCAAGCACCTCATCCCAACCTCCCACTGGTCAATGCACAACACTCCTCCGAAGACCCCAACCCCCACATACAGTCCTCCACCCACCAGGTCTTTGTAGCACCCACTGACCTCTCCGTAGCACGTCTAATGCCGAGGTCAGACGACTCGATTGTAGCCCAATTTTGAGCCGACAGAAGTGTCTCGTCGCAGAGTTTGAGTTGTCTTGACACGTCGTAGCTCGTGTAGTGTGACATACAGTATACTCAACTATTGGGACTACGGCTGAAAACGAGCATTATGCTGAGTCCGGCGCTTTTACACTCTTTATTCTTGCATTGATTAATGTGCACTGTCCCAATGAAATAAATACATAGATACATACATAAATAAATAAAAAGAAATTGGCTGTCATGTGTCTGGGATGCTTCACGCCATGTTTTAGTTTGGCATGTTTTTTGTTTGTTTTGCCGTCCTTTGTTGTCCTTCGATTGGTTCTTCGGCCTTGACTAATAGGAAGACAGTGCCCTCTTAGGACGAGAGACTGGACGTGGTGCACACAATCGCAATGTGGTGTACAGTCTTTAAAAAGTGACTTGAGCAAAAAGGGGAAATGCTGGAAAGTATACGTAGCATTTCAACTACATTTGCTAATTGCAAAGCTAGGAGCTGATTAGCAAACGTGGTGTCATTAAACAAATTTGTTACCTCAAGTTCTTTTTGGAGAACAGACTGTCCATACTGCTCTCTCCCCACCATCCAAGAACAGGTCCAGACTCTTTTTTTTCTTTTTTTAAATTTATTTTTTGCCTTTTCTGAACATACAAACAACGCACATGCACACAATGCCTCTGCTGACGTGACTTTGACAGCTGCTTGTCCCTCCTCCTCGACGGACCTGCGCCGATGGACTGAATCTTGATGGAAGCTCGCAACGAAATGGGCAGGGTCTGGTCGGCGATAGACTTGTAAGGTGACAATTCGCCCGGTCCAAGACACAGAGTGATATTTATCGTCTGACAGCGTTACCATCATGAACAACAAAAAAAAAATCGTGTAGTTTGACAAGGCCATAAACCTCTGATCTTAGAATCGCCCCTGGTACGTAGTACCTTTGCTCTTGAGTGTGATGAATTCTTGGGAATTCTATTCATTCATTTGAATATACAATAAATGTTAGCTTTGCTTGTCCTTCACTCGTGCATGCTCATTTTTGCATCACCACAACATTGAATGTGTTTGATTTTGTGTGTGTGTGTGTGTGTGTGTGTGTGTGTGTGTGTGTGTGTGTGTGTGTGTGTGTGTGTGTGTGTGTGTGTGTGTGTGCTCCTTGAAAAATCACATTTGCAACAGCCCATATTCATGGTTAAGTTGCATATAACATATCAATTTTGATCCTGTTAACACACAAAAGATATTCTAACGAGTGCGTCGGTGTTATATGTTTAGCACTTTAGAAAGTTTAAATAATTGTCCATCCGTATAGACCAAAGGCCTTAAACTCAAGGCCCGGGGGCCATTTGTGGGCCATTGAGTGATATTTTATGGCCCTATATTTGACATGAAAGTTAAATATTAGGCGGCCCCCAACTTTTTTGCCTTGGGCGTTGTGTGGTTGTGTGTGTGCGTCTGTGTGTGTGTGTGTGTGTGTGTGTGTGTGTGTGTGTGTGTGTGTGTGTGTGTGTGTGTGTGTGTGTGTGTGTGTGTTTAATCACTTACAGTATGGGCTGCCATAGCTGAGGCTTATGACAGCTTTCGGCAAAACATAATTCTGACGTGACACCCAGTGGAAGGAAAAGATATATCATCGAGTCCCAGTCATGTCTTTTTCAGGTTGGCAACAAGAGCAGCCAATTTCAAGAAAAAAAAAGGAGAGGCAATGATTTTGGGTGTTGAGCACAGGGGCTCTCTAACCTGTTTTAAATGCAGAGTGAGATGTCATTGCTCAGCTATATACATGTTGAGAAGAATGCAAAGTAGCAGAGAGGAAAAGGAGGAGTGTTGCGAATGCTATGAAGAACCTGTTCATGTTCTGAACCGCTCACGAAGATCGAGAAGAGTGGATTAGTTGTGCTTTTTTGAAATAGTTGAACCACTTTTTTGTGCAATACTTGCCGTGGCCCATATACACCCATACTCTATTTTGAGTGAAATTGAGTTTGAGACTCCAGCTATAGACATTATTTTGATGGTGAGCCAATCCCAGCTGATTTTGAGAGACGTTGGACTCGTCAGTCTATTGTGAATCGTACAGAAGAATGTGTGTGTGTGTGTGTGGGGGGGGGATAACCCGAGCAGTTACATTCAATTTAGTCTTCTATTAATCTAACAAGGGGTGTTTTGAGGACGTGGGAGGGGATGTGGGAGGTAGCGGCAAGCACAGAAGAAAAGAAATTTAAATCCATATAAACACGTATAATTTCTATTCATGTTATTTATTTGACATGCACTTGACTGAATGAGTTACAGGAATGATAAGACTCAAAAATAGATCCTCAAGTGCTTCTCAAATAAAGAGTCATGAGGTAAACATAAATTCGGAAACCTCCCCAAAAATCCCAGCGCACTTCGAAAAATATGATACATTTTATTACTCTCTGAAGGGGAAAGCTCTCTTGCAGCGTCATGCACACCACACGTTTTGCCGTTTCATATTAAGAACGAATTCGCACAGGGGCAAGCGAGCAAATGAGCGTGCCTTTGTAAGAAGGAATTTGAAGGAGACAAAGATGTCTCAGAAACACAATCCCATTTTGAATATTTGGGTCTGCAGCAGGATTCGAAGCTTATAGACTCTCTTACGAATATTTTAATTCATCAGTAAAGCATGATTATGTTCTCCTGAGAGGATTTGCCTTTGTATATATTTGAGGGAAAATCATGGAATATTGTTACTTTTTGTCCCGCCATTTTGGAATTATTTAATTCTAATTCAGACAAGAACAAGAATCGAGAAAATGTACATTATCGTTGTACTTGCAACAATTTGGAATGTATGCGACAAGGTAAGCGTTGAATGTTTCGAGCGAGTGTTGGTCTTCCGAATTCAGAAGCCAAAACAGGGACAACCTCCCTCCCTCCCGCGGGACTCCAACGGAAGGGTGACGACGCCTCGAATGAATGCGCCGATCAACTGCTTGTGGGGGTTGCGACGTTTATGGCTTTATGACGGTCTTTTGGTGTTGCAGCCAAACAGACGCCCCTCTCCTTTCAACTCCAGCGTGCAGTCGAGGAGACCCATATTTTAAACACATGCGGGTTCATCCTCTCCTTCCTCCTTATTTGCGGTCATATGAAGTTACGTCTTTGCGCTCCCCCTCCTCTGTTCTTCCCACAGATACCCAAATGAAACCCGACGAGGGACTGAAATTAAACAGTTATTTTCATTGGCTTTTACAATTTGCAACAAAGCAAATCGCGTCGTTTCTTAAATATAACAACGCCCAGTTGTTAACGAACCTCGCACTCATTTCGTTCCCATTTTTTTTCCACATGGCCTACCGTATATCAAATTAGTCGCGTGCAAGGCAATCAAAGGAAACAATGCCGAAATTAATTAAGTCTCTTTAATAGAAATCCAGCATGAGAGAAACAAGTGACAACGCTGAAAAAGGGAGAGACGATCATATTTATGGGGGGGGTTTAAAAGCTCCATGATTAGGCGGGACGCCTGTCAACCTTCACCACAGATTACAGTTTCCGCGTTGAATACGATATTAAATATCAAAAATTGTAAACGTTGCCCTTCAGTCATAACAGGGAGTGTAAATATGACGCGCCCGCCGATGGAGATAATAATTGAAAGTAGGCCTATATTTCAATCTGGGTCAAACTACTTTTCAGTGTAGTGGTCAACTTTCAATCAAGTAACTGCAGAAGCATGACTGACTCGAGAAGAGATAGTTTAGACTCACAGACATTAAAAAAAACGACAATCTCAAAAGGAAATTAGGATTTTTGCTTCACGAGAGGACAAATTAGACCATTGAAGTCATTCTCAAAAAGACAAGTTAATCACTTTATGTACAATAAATTAGAAATATCACATTCTTAAACAGCTTTAATGTTTTTTTTTTGTTTTGTTTTTTTTGCAAGCATTATCCTGTGGAAGTTTCGCCACTGACAAAGAGTGAACGAACATAGCAAATATAAGAGCGACTTGAGGCATGCGCAAACAATGTAAACATTTGAACCTGAATTATCGGATTTGACGCTGTGCGTCAAGTGTCTGGATAGAGCGCTTCACTTCGCAAAGACTTGTGGACAAGAGACTCGCCTCCAACGCCGATGTCTTGTTTATGGTCTGCCCATAAAACTGCCACCGCGCGCCATTTAAATACGACAACACTTCAAATATCATAAAACAAGATGACCTTCTAACGTGGCCTTTTTCATCAACTCTCCGATCAATAAAACTGTACATAAACCTAGTGTATGTTTTGTTGAATGATGTTGACATATACAGCCCCGAGCGATGACATTATCAGAAAAATAACGTTAATTCGGCGATTGAAAAAAAATTTTCTTGAAATGGATTGGCCCTTCCTTCAGTCCGATGTTGTATTTTTAAAGTACTGTACTTGCATAGCAGATGTTTATTTAGTGTATAAAAATAGAGCGCCTTTCTGAAAATGCAACAGCGACATTGAAGAGATTTTTTTTCAGTGTGTGGTTCGTTTTGTACGATAGCATCGGAAATCAGCAACTAGTTTGGAAAAAAAAAATTCGACAGCCCTTGTTCGTGGCCTGGGCAAACCAAAGACAGACGCATTGCCTCTGTGGCTCACAATAACAATGAAATCCTTTGAAATCTAAATCCCCCCACCAACTCATGAAACATCGCTAATTTTTAATTTAAGGAAATGAGCGCCTGCCATATCGAATTAAGAACGCGTCGATAATATTAAATTTACAACAGCTTTTTAACTGTCCGGTTGTAAAAAGATTCAACACTGTAAATCTGCTCATTACTAAGGCTAAACCGAGAATATGTTATCAGCGTGTGCCACCCGCTCCGTACTCATGGAAGTATTAGAAACGGAAAATCCCCGTGCAAAAGAGAGGCAGTGACGATCGCGTGTGTATCGGCGTTATTCATGACTGCGCGAATTACTGGTTTCCGCACCTGGTGCGCCCGGACGCGAGTGACACGACAGTAAATACCAAAAGTGCACGGACGCGTGTTACTCCGTCCAAGTCTAAAAACAAATCATCTTTGTCTATGAGGATAGTCCGTGTATACCCGTCAATTTCCCGAGAAGACGATAACTCCCAAATATACACATCATGCTTTCCAAACGCGATCATCCGTAAAGCACAAGTAACAAAACAAACGATCGGTCGTGTGGGTGAAACAGAATGGAATCAGCAGTAATGCGTTTTTTTTCTTATTTCCTTTGAGGTTGCAGGTTATGTTACTATAGTCGAACAACGTAGACTGTATGAGCGTGCAAGTCCGTCTGTGTGGTATTTTCAGTGCGTGCACACGCTCGCGTAAATCCCGTTAATCCTTGGGTTGATCCTTGCTCTGTTTCTTCATTTTCATCCTCCGGTTTTGGAACCAGATCTTGACTTGCCTCTCCGTCAGGTTGAGCGCTCTCGCCACCTCATGGCGCCGGTCGCGCGTCAGGTACATGTTGAACAGAAATTCCTTCTCCAGCTCCAGCGTCTGATATTTCGTATACGGGCACCTCTTCTTCCTGGAGGAGCGCGCGTGTAACCAATTGGCGGAGGGGTCGTCTGGAGGAAGGAGAAATATACAAAGTTGTGGATAAAAAAAAAAAAACAGTAAATAATCTATCCCAAATTCAAAATAAATAAACAACAATATCGTTTTGCTCCATCATGCGTCATACATCGAATTTTGTCATCAAGGGTCACATTTCCGACAGAAGCATATCAGCGGCTGTTTCATTTGACACCATTCATGGATCACTGCATCCAAAGTGACGCATCAATTAAACAGATATAGTCCCACGGTGCTTTTTAATGTCTTTCTTTCGATATCTCACCCCTGGCTTGTTATTTGCAAGAACCCGATTGCCTTTGCGGCGTGAAATGAATTCAGAATTTAAACAAAGCCAGCAGGAAATAAAAACAACAATATATTTCAACGCCACCCAGAGCAATCTGATAGCATATTTACGATAGGCGGTGACGTTTGTATTTCTAAGAACGGGAATGCACACAGCGATGGCATATATTTACATATTTTGGAAATGTACGTTTTTGATGATACTCCATATATTTTTAGAGCACACAATTCCCAAACGGCAATGTTAATACTGATATTGAACATTTTTTGTGCATGGTAAAAATAAAATGCATGGATGACACTTTGTTATCTTAGAAAAGAGGAATGACTCCAGATGTCTTAGTTAACCTGCACTGATGTATGCTTTCTCTTTTTTTTCTAAGTGAAATAAAATTCTCAATTTCCTTTTTAAATTTGATTTCAGTCAAACTTGGCAATTATTCCTCTTGTGTTGAAAGTACAAAAGTATTTTAAAGGCAGTGAGGACAAACGTTCAAAACTAAAATATAATTTTCACCTGTGAAGTCAAGTATAAGAGAGGAGTTGAACAATTACATCAAAATAACCTCAACACATCGCAGAGGAAAAAATCAAGAGAGCCATCACGTCTTTGCTGGATCTTGCCGCTCTTCATTTTTACCCAAGAATTAGTCAGTGACCATCATGAGTTCACACGTCCTTAATACGCTGCGTAATCAATTTCCTCCAACATGGCCCAAATGTAAGGTATTGATTTCTTCTCAGGGAAAATAATGCCTAGTGGGGAGGTGAGGAGAAGATGGATGACGAGACCGGGGTGTGCTGTACTTGTGTCACTCGCTAAAGTGGGTGCTTTACAGTCATATATAATCGCTTCTAGAACAATCCATTACTGTTTAAGATTCGCCACAACCGTGCCTGTCACCCGGGCTGACAGAATGCTCTGGAGGGCGGTGCACTTCGGAGAGGATAGGAAAAGATTATGAGCATTGGAAAGAAGGCGGGCATGGAGAATATGTGTGTTGGTGATCCACTATTCCCGTCTTGGGCTTCTTGTAGCTGTTAACGAAAATGTCCGGCTGAGATGTGGCGTGGACAAACACAGAGATGGAAGGACTGATACTCCCATAAAGGATACCGCTATCGCCCGTGGCTGTGCAACATGAAAAATTCAATTGCTGACCAATGTGTCTTTTCCTGCCTGTGTCCACCATGATGAATGCAGCTTGCGTGGAAACATTGAGCCGAACGCCGATTGGATTAATATCGCATCCCCTCTCTCGCCTCTTTCTCCCTTCGCTTGCAATTTCACCCTAATAGTTCCAGAAATTGACCCCTCATATATCCCAAGGCACGTTATTACATTTCTCCGTCGTATTTTATCCTTGCTCCCCACCCCCTCCGCCCAATCCCCCCTCTACACTTCACCCAACCACCAACAGCAGCACGCCAATTAATGGGGTTGTTCACCCTGTGATAACTTAATAAACTTCAGAGGTAATAATTTTCCCAGCTCTGCCGGCAACAGAAACAGCAGCGCAAAGATTTGAAGTGTAATATTGTAGTTTATTCTGGATGGTTGCCCAGCACCGGTAATGTGAAAATAATCTGTTGCGGGATGCTCAATTTAATTAGTGCGGTATATTGAAAGGTAGCTCTCTCCTTATGGTCTACACTCTCCACATATAGTGGCCATTTTGAAAAAAGTGGTATACCTTTGGGGAAATCACCAAACGTATAGCTTGCCAATAAATACCAAACGACGCAAAACTACAGGGGCTTCTCGGTTTATGACAGACTTCCTCTTCTGTGACGCTGATGCAATGTTTGAAGATTGGACGTGGGGAGTCTTAATGGCTAGCCGGTGCTAATGCTGAAGAAGTCTTAATTTCAGTCTAGATTTGTATGAACAATACTTTGAGACCCTGAATATAAAATAATTAGATCAAGAATAGTGACAAAAAATAGAACATTGCCTTCCCTTTGCTTGTGATTGGCACCGGAAAAACAAATTCATTACGCACACCCTTTGTAACCGCAAAACAGTGTTAGCCAAAAATGGACTCTAACCAACATTTAACCCTTTCATGCACCCTGTAAAAGTGGGTTTTTACAGCAGGAAAAGTGATTAAAATTGCACGACTGTCTGTGTCTTATGTGTTGTGTTTTGTTATTTTGTTATTTTGACTTCAAGATGGCGCCGCGAGAGTGGCTGCCTTTCCAGCAGCTCCTATATTTTGTTCTTCTACTTCTTCCTTTTATAACTTTGCTGCTGTGAATTGGGAAATTCTCCATTGCGAGACTAATAAAGGTTTTCTTATCTTATCTTAACCTGACAAAATGATAAGATGTCCACTGTAGTAACCGCTGTCCCTGAAAGGGTTCATCAAAGATGCACTTGTTATACATTTGAAATTGCAAACATTAAGGAGGACTAAATGTTTACATGGTATGTGTCTATCAAGTCCGTTTACTTTTGAATGCACGCAGCCAAGCAGTCCAGCTGCTGGCAATTGCTACATACACGACAGTAGTGGTGACTTGCTTGCATTGCAAAAAGAAAGATAATAAGCATCTTCTCCTAAATGTCAACCCATTCCACAGACCAGGGCAAAACAGCCACAAGTTGACCGTAGAGAGCTAGGCAGGGTACTGTGGGATGAATGTAGATGATTATATAGATATATAGATAGATTATATACATCAGATACGGACTACAGTATAGAAGCCTTTCAACATTTGCCGTTATGTACGTATACACACCAAGAGCAGAGCACATAACTGACACTCCTTTTGACACTGCACATTTGAATGGTTGAGCAGGCAGGGGGCCTCAGCCAGTCTATCATTCCAGGAGATATTTTTGGATCCACCAATAATAAGTCAACTTTGGAAAATAATGTAGAAAACTAAAACCAAGCCATCTTTGACCTCCAACTGAAGTATTCGATGTTCAAAGTTCATATTGGAGGCCAAACCCCAGAAGGAAGTTCAGTTAAAGTGCTGGATTAAAAGCATATGCAGACAGGGATTTAAAATCATCCGGCCTTCAAAAAGTATGACGCGTGATTCAGTGACCCGACTTTTCTTTGGTCAACCTACCAATATTCAAGCATTCACATTTTCTTTTCATCCTGCTGCTTGGCCTCATTTGGTCACGGTGAGGTGGAGCTTATCTCACTGATGGGTAATATGAAGCATCCAAACTGACTTTGGCCGACAGGCTGCGGGTCCCCCATGGAGTGCTCACCATCACTCGCATTCAAACAACACGGACAATTTAGTGTCTTCACTTGACCGAACATGCATGTTTTGTTTTTTTTTTTATGTGGGGAGGAGCACTGCACCTGTGCACGTATAGAGAGAACATGCAAACTCAGGCAAGGTTTGAACCCCAAATGTCAGAATTGAAGGCAGATGTGCTCTGAAATTAAGGAATTGCCCTTTTAACCCTTTCGGGGAGAGCGGTTACTACAATGGACAGCTTATCATGTTGTCAGGTTATAGGGGCATGAAAGGGTTAAGATACAGTATAAGACAGCATCACCACCGCCACTACTACAATAAATAATTGCAATAACACGAACAGTAATCATAATTATTGCAATAACCATAGAAAACATGACCTTCGAATTTCATGTTTTAAATTTGTAATCCAAATTCTATTTTTAGAATCATGGACAAATGTTAATTTAGTAAATCAAAGCAAAAGTTGGGATAAAAGAACAAATATTTAGAATAAAACTATTTGTTAACCACAGATTGAAACGATACAGTCTGGACTTTTGTTTACCGATCTTTATTTGCTGCTGTCTCATTTCTAAAGTTGATATTTTCAATATAAGGTAAGGACACCATCCTGTACAGAACATAGGATGAGTTATGATGTATTCAATGTGGTTTATTTAAAAAAATAAAGAAATAAAACAGATTTTTTTGTGATAGTGGTGAAAGACCTAACTTCCCTAGGGGACTTTTATTAATTTTTTATGAATGGCCTTTTTCCAAGAACTACATTGATAACTATATCGATGTAACGTTAGTGCACTGCACGTGTTTGAAAGAAGGTTAGAAAGGGAGAGTGAGAGAGCGAGGGGGGAGAGAGAGAGAGAGAGAGAGAGAGAGAGAGAGAGAGAGACAGACAGAGGCACACACACAAAGACGGGGAGAGAGAAAGAGAGAGAGATAACGAGATATTGCATAATGCGCTGTTTATGTGTAATAATACTAGAACTTAAACTGATTGTATTTTGAGAAGTCAGTGCTTTCTATGGCTTATAAAAGTAGCGTTTATGAACGGCTCATTCAATGTTTTGTCACTTTCTTTATAGGACGATGTGTTAAGAAAATCACAAACATCAAACATAACATCACTCAGAGTCAAATTTAGTTCAAATGCCGGACTGTTTCCAGAGGTCTGTGACACCGGACGAACTATCCCATCTTGGTCTTCGATAGCTGTAATGGTTCGACAGCGCAAAGTGGCTTTGGCTCCCCAGGTCTTTGTTCTTGTTTTACAGCAGCATTAAAAGTATTTACAATCCCTCTCCCCAATCATCGCGTGTCTTTCGTCAAAGTGCTATTTCCTGCCCGAATAACTTACTTTGATCTAGGCCCTCTTTGTCTTCGCTCCCTTCGCAAGAGTCGTTATTTTCTCCGAAAGCCACACCGGGCATCGCGGCGGGCGGAGCCGCAGATCGGTACTCCAGGATGTAAGTAGCGCTCTCCAGCTGGTTCTGTCCGCCGATTTTGGTCGGGGTCTCCACGCCAGGACGGCCGGGCTGGGGCTCCAGTTTGACCTGGCCGCTCTGACCCTGGCCCGGGAAGCAGTCGGACCCGCGCGGCGGCGCGCATTCCAGCCACGAGCGGAGGTAGCGAGTGTCCGTGGAAGGGACGTGCTGTGTCGGTATGTACGGGTGGTAGACCGTCGGAAGACCGCTCGCCCCATGGTGATGTGGACTGAATGGACTCCAGGGTGATGAGAAGAGCGGGGGCTTTGGCTGGAAGCTGCAGGACGGATATGACTCGGGGAGCGGATGCTCCGGTGGTGCCGCCGAGCCGGGCTGTCTTCCGCCCGCTGCAGCGGCGGCGGAGCTGGAGCCGGAAAACTGGACGTTGGGAAAATGAGCTGGGGCCGGGAGTTCATCGCTTTCTTGACTTATGATGGAGTCCACGTAATAGTTGCTCAGAGTCCCAGAAATAGACATTCTCGGACATTCTCTGTGAAAACACTACGAGTTCACTAAATGGAGAACAAGAAGATAGACATGTGGAGATTTTTCCTCTTTCCCTCTTCTCCTCATCTGCCCTTTGCTACTTTGCCTCTCTCTC